ATGATACCGTCCGACGCGGCGCTAATAACAAATGACCGCGGACGCGGAACGATTCGAGCGTTCCCAGCCGCGATGCAATCGACGCCGCGGACACATTTTTCTCGCGATTCATCGCCGACCACTGACAAACGAACTCGGACTAGCCGCCGGGACTGTGGAAGCTGATTTTTAGAACGAACGACAGCGACGACTTCATAGAGATAGCGAATGAAAGAGCGGGTGTATCTATTGTTTGTCGTATCAGAGCGCATCTGCGATATCTTTGCGATAATTTGTCTGATATCGTTTGGTATAATAGGCAAGTTAGAGAATGAAAATTAGGTAAAATTCGAACTGCACGTTTTATAGGAGAAGCAGAAAACCGAATTTCGAGCAATCTAGTGACGGAATAAATACAGTTCGATCGTAATAAAATATCAAAGTAGCCTCTGTTCCCAGTGATCTAATTCACGTAAGAATGCTTAATCGTTGGTTTCCTACAAGAACGACGCAAGTAAATTTTTCAAGAAAATCCTTTGAAATTTTTATAGTAGAAAATTATTAATTACTCAACCATTTAGCAACGAAAAAAAAATTTCTTTTAGAATTTAACTAACCATCAGAAAAAGGGTTAAAACATCCCTACTTTGAATTCTGATATTGTTCACGTTAATAATTTCACTTCAAAATAAAAACAGCCGGCTTTCAGAATTACTTTTCGCAGACGTCTCAAAATTAACGAGTTTTCAGACGTATCGCTCATCCAACAAACGGACGATGTACCTATACTCCGATCATCACTCGCTTCTGCCTGTCGTTTTTCACGAATATCGCAAGTACGCTCCCGCGTGATCGACTGTGTGCATCGTATAAATTTCAGTGGAACGGAGATCGTCGTAAGAATAGAAAAATCACATGTCCTCGTGGAGGAAGATCGATCGATCGGCCGAGACGCTGTCGTCGTTGTCGTACGCGTATACGTTGGTCGCGCGATCGCGCGATTAATCTTCGTGCTGCGTGAATCGGCGGAAGTGCCACGTCCACGCAAGCAACCAGTGTGCATTTTATATGAAGTCATTTGCATCGAACGCGACCACGAAGTGTGGCCTATAAATTACCGTCCGTCCGCGATAACCGCAACGCCAACGAAAGACAATAAACTCTAGCGACGCGAACGCTTCTGTTTGTTCTCCATTTTCTTTTCCCTTTTTTTTCTTCTTTTCTTCCTCATTCAGAGAAAGAGAGAGAGAGATATTAGCGAACACGACTACCTTTGCACGGATCTAATTGCTACACTCTACACTGCGTTTTACACCGCATGACTTACCCCTCTCTCAGTTCGTGTGCAGGTAAATTAACACGTGACTCTGGCCATTGACGTTAACACTTTTGACGTCTTTCACGATAATACGTTGATTTATTCAACGTGCAGTTTACCTTAATCGCAGTTTTTCAAACTGCTCGTTTACTCAGC